AAAAAGGCCCAAAATTCCAAGTTGTGGACAACAAAACAGCACCATTAAAATTGTAATAGATAAGGGTGAAGACTGTTTTCTTTAACCGAGCGAGGTCACCCTCAAGGGTCTGGGTAAAGAGACAATGGGAAGGGAGTCCTAAAGTCGAGGAGTGAGTGACTGGCCGAGTGTTGTGGTAGAGTGGATGCGTAAATGAGCGAATTGTTTTGGACCCGCACACGCGTATTGGTGGTTGAGCCACAGTATGGATGAGACGAAAACTGTCGTCCTTGGAGTGCTCAACATAGGTGGAGGACATTATCGAGTGAAGTTTCCAGGAACGGTAACCGTAGCAGGAGCATTAGAGGCGTTGATCGGGGGATGAGTGGCTGCTGCTTTACTCTGGATTCCATCAGGTGCAGTGAGGTGGCAAGTGGATGCTTCACACAGATGTGATAGCGGGAATCCAATCGTGGTACAGTAAATTAAAGTCGGAGTCATAATTCGTGGGAATTAAAGAAAGGTTTGGAACCGAACATAAAACCTAGCTTTTTGGATGCAAATTTTGCCAGCTTTGTAATATAACCAATTCCAAGAGTTCATATAAGGTTTATGTGCCAAGCAGAATAATGGTTTTACTATGGCAAATAATAATTGTTGCTAAGTACAATAAGAGGAACTGAAGCATTGCAACCTACTGAGAAATAGTACAAGTTCTGTAACAGACATCTTAAGCACAGATCCTGGTGCTATACCATCGGGACCACAATACTTAGAAACGTTGGCTTAAATCATTAAAAGAAACTCCACGATATATTAATAGGCAGAGAGAATGTGTTTGTGGATAAAGCAGCATTAGCTCCACACACATACATCTGGGTTACAGATTGCGTTCAGGACCAGCCTTGTACACTCAGGATAATGTCACTAGCCAAGACCACTTTCACGCGGTCAAATCACGGTAGGTACGATCCGGGCTCGAGTTCAAATATGAAGCAAAAACGTGCCCTCAATCCGGGACGAAAGTACCTAGAACAGTAGTCTAAATAAATTGTATCGGAACCTGCGGCCATCCCACAATGTTAGAATATCTCCCCACAAAAGCAACAGCCTACACCAGCTGTAAACCAGCACTGTCCTAGGACCCTAGCAGTGCAACAGACAGCATCTACGGTATTTGCCACCAGTGGGATACTTGCTGCAGATGTCCCAAGCAAACATCTTGTGCGAGTTACATCCAGTGGCAAACAAGGAAGGATGAGGGGGGGGCATGGTGAAGGTTAAGGCAGTTCAATCCCCTTGTCCACAAAACGCTGTTGTGTACCCGGAAGATTTTTTGTAATAATTCCAGTTGAAGCTGGCACGCGGCACGACCACACCATAGCAGAATAAAAAAAACACATCAAATGCAAATCTAGACCAGTGGGTGTATGGGTGGTCGACCGTTCTACCGAAGCACAAAGATCCCCCGTGTAGCCTTAACAGACCGTAGGAGCGAGTGCTGTTAGCGAGTAGCACCTATTAAGGTGGGCCATGGCACACGAGGGAGTGGGTGGAACAGCACGACGCCCGGCCGCCTTTGTCTCCCCAGTGGCGATGCTTACTACACACCGCACCAGGTACTCATTTGAGACCGAGTCGACCTCGGGGTGGCCCAGGACCGGTTCAAATAATCGCCGCTGGCAGTGGCCATGAGCGGGAATTGAACTCGGGACGCTGGGTTTGTGGCGCAGCACTCTAACCGCTACACCACCGCTTCCCACAATGCCACACAAAAGACAAAACCACACACACACACTAGTTTTGTGGTGACGCATGGAAGCCACTATAAGCGGCATCGTCAATGAACAGCGGTTGTTGCAGTTTTACGCATAGGGCAGAGATGTAATTAGAGGTACAAAATGTCCTAAACCTTTGTCCCCTGCAATCGGCTCTTCTCATTCACTTCGAGGACCCCTCAAAATATGTTATCGCCCGTGGCACATCAAAGCGCTCAGGTGGAGTCTGCTCGTTACGTGATTAATGATGTTGTTTACAGAAGACGAGGAGACATTTTGGGGCCCTGCCCTTGTGCGCTGCTCGCTACCAGTCATTGGCGTGCAATACTGGCGATTGAGAGTGATCATCCAGCAGTGACACTGGCAAAGGACTTGCGAGACAACAAATGACGAATGAAGCCTGTGGGACGACACAGTTACGGGGAAATAAAACACAGATAGTGTATGCACAACAACACAACAACAACAGCGGTACTGTATAGGGAGAAGGCAGCAAGGTCCAACCTCTTGTGCAACTAACCATCTCTCCTGGGTGGTTGGTGGGTGGTTGGTTGGTGGTTGGTTGGTGGTGGCTAGGGATTTGTGTACAAACCCAACAACAGCAAAGCCACACAAACGACTGAATTCTTAAGGAGAGGGGGGGGGGCAGAGAACCTGACTTTCCCATTAAGGCCCCCCTCCTCCTCCTCCCACCCATGACTAAGCACGCAAACATTCCAGTCGAGGTGTGGACAGTGGGAGGGAGAGCTTCTCACCGTGACTGGCACGTCCCAACTTTGTTGTTGGTGTTGCTGCTGCTGCCTTTGCAACCGCCACAAACATCCGTCCCCCCAACCCCGATTTTAAGCGTTGCCAATATGTGGGGGTGGGGGGGGAAGAAGTGGGCTTCTAAAACCACGCAAACAGTGAATTGGCATGTCATTGGTCGAAGTTCGCATTCAAAAGGGACAAATATGCATGAGCAGACATCACGCCCCCTTCATATATCAGTCTCTCTACATGTGCTAAAATACACGTATTCCTTAAAACAACCCACGGCCGTGTTTACGGGAGTGCATAATTGCAGCGGCATTCGATTCTAGAGAAGCAAACTCCGGACCGGTTTCGGCATTGGTGTCTCATCAGCAGTGAGGCTTGCTTGAATCAATGCTGGTGAACTGTCGATTTGACAGGCAAGGTCCTCTCTTTCTCTTAACGATACGGGGTATCAGTTCCCCACAACGACGCTCCTCGTGATTATGATGAGTTACACATCTAAAAGGGTTTAAACCAAGGAATTAGCGGAACGTTTCACCGGTTTTCTCGTACCGGCTTTAAGCGATTTGCGAGTTAAAACGCACCAAGGCATTCCCCTGTGATGTGTCGAGAGTTAATACTGCAACCTTAGCATGTTCCTTTCACGAATGTGGACGGATGATGACTCATGGGCCTGGACAAACAGAATGTACATATTTTGATAATCACCTTTTTTTACCTTGTGGTCTTAGTCTTGTTTTATTTATCATCGATAGTGTACGGCACATCCTTTGTCTGATCTTACATCTACAGTAATTTGAGAGTCGATTTGTGTTCATATTATTTGGCTATTTCTGTAAAGTCACGTTGATAGGTTCAAAGAAAATACAAAAAAAACTACGACGTTTCGATCACAACACAAGCGATCGTGATCGAAACGTCGTAGTTTTTTTTGTTATTTTTCTTTGAACCTATCTACGTGATTTTACCGAAAGATCCAAAGAATGTGAATTCCTGCAGTCACGAAAGCTTTAAGTCAAGATTTAGTCGATTTGTTTTTTTACTCCGTGACACTTCCACGTGTTTGGGAATTGTTGTCATGGGCTGTACCTGCTTCGGATGTAATCATAATCACATCCGAAAGGGCACCCCAAGCGGCAGCCACCTGGCCTGCAAGCCGCAACCAGTCTACATGTAGTGGGCGATGACTCTTTAGTATAATCCCAACTGAGTCATTCGCGGATAATTTTCGGATTTAGGTTTGTTTGTGACGCAGATGCCCCTTAAACCAAAGATCGTAGCCTCGATGTGATCTGCTTTTTTTTCCTTTAAATAAACCGCGCCTGTGAGTTGTCTGTTTTTCACATCCGAGCAAAGCAAACCAAAAAGCTGACAAAATCATCGAGGCGACAATGCCCTCTCTTTTATTGTTGTTTGCAGATCGATCAATGTAGCAACGTGATCAGTCGTTGCTCGTCTCGAACAGCTTTAAATAAAAACTCTCGGGACAGACGGCGAAAAAAAGTATACTGCAGGGCTATTTTGAGCGCAGAAAACGAGAGATATGTTAATTTAATTTCCATGGTGGACTCTCAGGCTATCAGATACTCCGGTTAACAAGGATTGCTGCCTTATAAGATTTTATAGCGTCCATAGAAATCCTGACCTTCCTTTCCTCGCGTTGCTTTGGCAGTCAAGTAAAAATATAACAAAACTGCGGGCGCCACTTACATTCGTATCATGGCTGGGACTGAGTGGTCAGAAATAGCATTGGCTGCTGCTGCCGTGACATGAATATTATTGGGACAGCGATGGGGTTTTATTGGAACATCGAGTGTTGGATGTGACCGATACATCAGCGCAATAGCCGACGAGTCTGCGAGACGCGATCAGTGTCGGCTGGTGCCGCGAAACCAGATCGAGTGTTGCGTTAAGAGTTAATGCTCACAATGACTGGATTTCGCAAGACCGTAACTATTTCTGTTAATTAACACATGCACCACAACACAGGCGCGCTTTGATACACTGAGATAGAGTGTCCCCCTTGGTAAATTAACATAGTACAGTTGTGAAATTGCTGACGATTACAATCCTTTGCCGTGACAGCCGGCGTTCGGTCGATGGCAGTGCACATTTCAGAAACGGGAGATTTGTTCAAACGCACGTGAAGACCACGGTGAAATGGTTACGTACGGCGCGAAAGAAGTTCAACATAAAGTGCATACAATTCGCTCGGGCCAAATCTAAATAAGGCATCACGCGACGTGTACAGTGTCGTACGTTCTCGTCTGAGTTATCGCTCGGATCGGGCCCCTAAGTCCTGCACACATTCAATTGCGGCGCGACTTAAACAAAACAAAACACGACTGCTGAGAAAGACAAACGTGGAAACCTTTACAATCCGTGTACCGTCCCACAGTTATCGCCCATAAAACTCTGGCATGGTGTTGCGAGCGCGCGAGAGAGAGAGTGGCGAGTGTGATGCGATGGGACGTTAGGTTAACTCACTCTCTTGGGCAGGAGGACACGCGCCATCGGAGCGGGCGAAGTCAATGCTGGCGTAAGCTCCAGAATCCACTGCGCCTGTGCTGACCTTGGCATTGGCCCTTGCCCCGTCCAGGCCAGCAGTAGAGGCAGCGGTAGCGGCGGCAGAAGCAACAGCAGCAGCAGCAGCAGCTGCCCTCTGGCACTCTTCGCTGCTCAGTTCCAGGGCGACGTAGTTGAGCCCATTCTCGAATCCGGACTCTCTCGATGTGCCGCCGCAGTCTGCCGAGTCCCCCGCGGGTCCTCCTGCGGCGTCTTTCAGGTAGACGCTCTCGAAGGAGGCCGAGCCGAGGCGGTTTGCGTCGCACGAGAATGACGGCGACAGCAGGGAGGTGGACGTGGGCATCGCTGGGGATGCTCCTCCCGATCCCAAGGCAGCCGAGGCGGTGGTCGTGGACGAAAACGTCTCAGAGCTGTGCCTCCTCCTCCCCTGAGCGTCGGCCCTGATGACCTTCGCGCCGTGGTCCGGGTTGGGCATCGGGTAGGCGGCAGTCATCTGGTCCATCAAGGACAGGCGGTTGAGTCTCGACGTCGGGCTGGTGAGCCCCTTGGAGCCCTCCAGGTTGGAGTGGTTGCTCGGCGGGCTGAGAGGCGCCACGCTCGGCACCGTCACGCCGAAGCGCATCTCCGTGTAGTCGCCGTCCGTCTCCTGCTCGAGCGGGGCGCACCCGCGGCCCATGTGCAGGGACGCGTAATCCACGCCGACGCCGACGCTCGGATTTACTCGGCCACCGTAATTAAGACCGCCGACGTTCGAGGTGGACATATAATCCGAGCCTGCGTTGCCGTTTTGTACGGGCCTCGCTCCGTAGCTGGCCCCAGCTGGATTAGCCCTGGCTGCCGCAAGTGGACTCGCGACCGAGGTTGCAGCAGCGACTGCTGCTGCTGCTGCGTTGGTGGTTGTTGTGGTCCTGCCGCCGCTCCAGTCGGGAACGACGGAGTAGTTTGCCCGCACGGCGAGACGCGTGGCCGAGCTGAGTCTCCGCTGCGCGTCCACCACCGCCTGAGCCGCCTGCACGTCTCCGAACTCGATGTTCACGTATTCCCCCGGGCTCACGGGCTCCGCCGGGCACTCGTACGTGCGGGGAAGTGTCGAGGACTTGAGGCCACCCAGGGACAAGCGCGTGGGTCTCACTATCCCCTGCTGCTGCTGCTGGACCTTGCGAGGTTCGGCCTTCGTGATGCCACCGCCGACCCCGCTTGCGGTGGGGCTGCTGCCGCTCGCCACCGGCTGATCGGGGTCGTGGCCCAGGCTGTCGCTGCTCGTGGAGGACGACTTGTCGCCTCCGAACAGCTGCCTCTCGGTCAAGTTGCCCGGGCTGAAACGTGCGCCGCCGCCGCCGGCGGTGGCCGAGGCAGCGGTGGCTGCGCAATCTCCATCCTTGCGCAGTCCCGGCTTGAAGGAGCGAGGCAGCGAGTAGTAGTAGCAGCTCACTTTGGGGGGCTCGGCGCTGGTCGGCGTGAAGAAGTAGTCCGGGGGGGTGCCTGCCACCAGGCCAGGCGACATGTTCATGTACTCGCAGCCTGCGTCTCCTCCGCCCTTGCCGTCGGCGCTGCACACGGACAGCTTGGAGCTGCTCCACATCTTCATGTAGGGGCTGCACTCGGGCGAGCAGCTGCCGTTGTTGGTACCAGGAGACATGACCATGTAGCCACTGGGGTCGGTGATCTCCTGGCGCCGCCGCGGGTTCACAATCTCCTGCGGGGCCGAGACGCTCTTGGGACTCATGGGAACGTAGTCGTCCGAAGGACCGCCACCGGGTGCGCTCAGCGTCATGGAGGAAGAGGTGGCGGTAGTGGAGCTGGAGACGATAGACTGCGAGGAGGAGCACGAGGAAGATGGCGAAGACGTCGGGACGGGAGCCACGCCGGGCGACATGGGCATGTAGCCGTCATCCTTGCAGGCCGCTCCGGGCCTCTGGCAGCTGCCCACGTGGATCTCCCCGTAGTCCTCCGGGTACGAGTGCTGGAGGTGCGCGGCCTGCGAGGTCTGCGGAGTCGAAGGGCCTGCCGGGGGCCTCGGCGAGGCGGAGCGCGACGTGTAGCTGCTGCCCGTGTAGCTGCTGCCGCTGCCGCTGCTCGTGAGGCTGCCCGCGTTCATGAGCGCATAGTCGTCCAACGGCTTGCGCTGCTGCTGCTGCTGTTGGACACCGGTGGTGGACTGCGCTGCCAGCGGAGGAGGCGGAGGGGGCGACGTGCAGGAGGAGTAGGTGCGCTTACGGTGGACAACCCCGGCCAGGTCCGACGTGCCTTCCGCGCCGCTCGCATTTTCATCCTGAGACGCGCGCCTGGCTAGGAGGACTCCTCTGTGGAGCTGCTGTTGCTGCTGCTGAGGGTGGTGGTGGTTGTGATGATGGTGGTGTCCATTTTGCGCGCAAGACTTGCCCATGCTGATGTAGTTGTTGACCTGTTGCTGATGCACGTGGTGATGGTGGTGGTGGAGGTTGTGCCCACCGTCGTCTTGCTCCTCGCGGATGGGTGGCGGCGTGCGGCTCAGAGACTCGGGGGTGGCGCTCCTGTGCACGAGGCCCTGATGTCTCCTCGCGTCCACGGGGCTCGATCCGTACTCGTCGGACGAGGACGCGAATCCTCCGTCGCTGGGTGAGCCTGACGCCGATGCAGCGCCGCCGCCGCCGCCGCCGCTGTTGACCTTCACGTACAGCAGCAACAGGGCGTCGCTCGCCGAAGACCCCCGGCCGCTGCTGGGCCCCGAGGAGGACGGCGAAGTGGACGACGCGCAGCTCACGGGGCTCACGGCCGACGACGGAGGCTGCGACGCGCCGGGTGCCGGCACGGTCACGTAGCGGCTGTGGATGGGGGCCGCTTGGAGGCGGGACGACGTGCGCCCGCCGAGGCATCCCCGGATCCCTTGCTGATTAAGCTGCTGCTGCTGCTGCAGGCGAGGAGGCGTGGGGCTAACGCTCACGGGGCTTCCGGTCACCGAACTCGGCCTGGACGTCAAGATCGTTCGCTCCCCTTCGCTCGAGGTGCGCGCTCTGAAGTTGTGCCCGCTTGCCGCTCCTCCAACGCCTCCGTTGAGCGGATGCCTGCTGCTGCTGCTGTGGCTGATGATGTTGGTGATGGTGGTGGCGGCCGCTGCCGGGTTGTTGTTGCCGCCGCCGCCGCCACCACCGGCCGGAGAGGAAGCCCCCTGGGTGCTGTTTGCGCTCTCGGTGCGCGAACGACGCGACAGGCCCGTCTGGCTGGGCGGGAGGCTGTTGAGGTGGCGTCTGGGCGGCACGGAGATGGGGTTCGAGCTGCTGGCCGAGTGACTCTTGCTGCGCGGGCGAAACTCGGAGAATTCGCTCATGGCCTTCATGGCCTCCAGGATGGTCTCGTGCATGTTCTGCGCCACCACGCAGTCCTCCACCTGCATCCAGAACTCGCCGGGCCCCGTGACGGCCGAGCGGCCCACCTCGATGAAGAAGAAACTCTCCGAGTGACCGCAGCGCCGCACGTTCATGAGCTGCAGGGTCACGTCCGGCTTCTCGCTGTTGAGCTTCACGAAGCTGATCTTGCGGCTCGAGAGGCACAGCCTGTAGACGCCGAACATGCTCCTCGTCTGGCCCAGCCCGCGGGGCTTCAGGTTCACCTGCCACACCTCCTTGAAGGCCGACGAAGGCGCTATCGCCCCGTAGATATCGTCGCCGGCGTGTGCCGAGCCTCCGCTCTCACCGCCGCTCTCGGCGTGAGGGTACAGCGACTGCTGCTGCTGCTGCTGCAGCAGCTGCTGATGGGGGTGGTGATGGTGATGATGATGGTGGTGGTGGTGGTCGCTGCACTGCTGCTGCTGAGCCTTTCCACGCGCGTGCAGCTCGGTTATCGCCCGGTACCAGGCGTCCTGCTCATGCTCGTTCTCCGCCGCCACGGCCAGGTATTCGTCCTTGGTGTAGAGAGCCACCATGAATTTGTTGCGCGCGTCGGCCCTCTTGCTGATGTTGAAGCACGAATCGAGCGACACGGCGCGCTTGGGCGCAGACTTGTGGCGAAACTTGCGCTCGCTCTCGTAGTATTCTAGGCGGCCCGCGGCGCACGAATCGTCGGGAGCGCGCAGCACGAAGTAGCGCTTGTGAGTCGTCTTCTGCTTGCGAAGGTATCCGCACTTCAGCACGTCCGTGGTGGACTGCAGCTCGGGCGGTGGATTGGCCATAGCTCGATCTGCGCTGCCCTTTTTTGGGTTTCCCACCCAAACCCAAGCTCGGTCAACGAGCGGATGATGATGATGATGTGGTGGTTGATGGTGAAAACAAAAATTATAGTCCACCCGTAATGGGGTTTGCTGGCTTCGTTAATGCCCCGCCAATGCGAGCGAGAACCCGTAGCTATTCCTCCTCTTCTTCTCAGCAGTGGCAGTAAGTAGCAGCAGTAGTAGTTGTGAGCACACGTTAACGGTGTGTAGGTAGTAGCAGCTTGAGTGGAGCGCACGAGACGCATGCGCGCCCTGCGTCGCCTCCAACTCTCATCAGAGAGTTCCCACCTGTGCCGTGTCGCCTACCCCAAACCTACAGAGCCAACGCACTAACACGGGCAAACCCAGTTACCTACCCACGGTGGCTAGCAAGTACGTCTCTCTCTGTCTGTCTCTATACCCTTAGGCAGACAAGGTACTCGGCCATGCGTGCGCTTCTCTTGACTGCTCCCCCCCCCTTCCCCTGCTCCCTTTCGTCTTTGGCTCGCGAGTGGCGGAGAGGCTGGGCGAGCGCGGCAGAAATCACCAAGCGCCGCTCTCTCCCGAGGACGCAACATTGGAGCAAAACAACATGTGACGCGGGTGCAGGGCGGACCCCTGCGAAGACAGGCAGGGCCCACCTCCCCCTATCCCCTCCTCCTCCCCTACCCCCCTATCCCCTCCTCCTCCCCTACCCCCTCCCCGTGCCCTCCCGCCCCATTCCTCCCCTCCCCATTCCTCCCTACCCCCCCACCACCACCACCAATTCCTCCCCACACACCCGCGAGCAACGTCGCCTTCCGATTGGCTGGCACGTATCCGCTTTGATCCCACCGCGCGGCCAATGGGCGCGGTCGCTTTTTGCTCGTGGCGTGTTCGCTCCCTCCCTCTCGTGGTGTGCTCTCTCTCGTGGGGTGCTCTCTCATGGCATGCTCGCTCGCTCTTTCGTGGGGTGCTCACTCGCTCTCTCTCATGGCATGCTCGCTCGCTCTTTCGTGGCGTGCTCGCTCTCTCACGTGGCGTGCTCACTCGCTCTCTCGTGGGGTGCTCACTGGCTCTCTCTCGTGGGGTGCTCGCTCGCTCTCTCTCATGGCATGCTCGCTCGCTCTCGTGGCGTGCTCGCTCTACCGTGGCGTGCTCTCTCGTGGGGTGCTCTCTCTCATGGCATGCTCGCTCGCTCTTTCGTGGCGTTCTCTCTCTCTCGTGGGGTGCTCACTCGCTCTCTCTCTCTCATGGCATGCTCGCTTCCTCCCTCTCGTGGCGTGCTCTCTCTCTCTCGTGGCGTGCTCGCTCGCTTTCCCGTGGCGTGCTCTCTTTTTATTTTCGGAACTCCGCTTCCGTTTCAAAATATCGCGACACGCGTCAACTGCTCAACTCGCGTCGCGTCGCGTCGCGATCCTCATCAGAATCACTCGTAATGCGTATTTACACTGCAGGAGGAATCCGATGAGCAATACAGCTCTTTTTCCACAGGTGTCCAGTCGGGGCGGGTAAGAACGTTACAACAACAAACGATACCAAAAAACATGATAACAGTGCAAAGTAGAAGAGAGGTAAACAAATCACCCAGACACAAACAAATGAAATTAAACTATCCCCATCCTACCAGACAAAGCCCACTAAGATATTAACTTATTGTTCAAAAGCGACCTGGCCACAAACGATAGCTCAACAAAATAGCCTTATCGTTTGGACATTTAGAGCAGCAAAATAATGAATCTAAGTAGTTGAAATAACCATCTCATCATCATCGTCGTCGCACAAACTTGGCAGGACCCTCCTGCGCCAAGAGGCGCGAGACTCAATGAGGCTTTCCTCGCTAAAAAAGCAGGCGTAATCTTAATGGTAATAATGAACATCTGCCATGGTCGATCCACTGTTAGATGTGATCCACGCAGCACGATTGCGTTCCTCCATCTCTGCCCCGATGGGCGTCTAACTCGGAGGCGTTGCCATTGCCGAGGCTGTGTTGTTACTCCGTTATTGATTATTTTGGTAAAGTCACGTAGTTAGAAATAAAATAAAAATTAATATTTTTTTATTTCATTTAATTTCTAACTACGTGACTTTACCGAAAGAACCAAAGAGTATGGATTCCTGCAGTCACGAAAGCTTCAAATCAAGATCATTACTCCGTTAGTCTTCTCGATCATATGATGTCCTACTGCGGCTGTAATAGCCGTACCAGAACGCGCCGCTTGGACGGTTCAAGATCATTTGACGGTCGCTCGCTCGCAAGGGTTGGCCGTTGTGTGTCGGCATCGGGCTCCGAAACTTAAAAAAAATCGCCCACTACTTTTTAAGGGTACATTGCAATTGGGGACTAATGTGTAGGGCTGAACGATTTGGGGGAAATATCAAATTGCGATTTTTCTGACAGATATTGCGATTTGATTTGCCATAAAACATTTTAAAGTCAAGCTTCAGTTCAATATTCACTGTGTAATAGATTTAAACCATGTGATGTAGCATTACCACATGATACCATCAAAATATGAACTGCTCTATATATTCTAATGCAAGCATGAGAACTTAACATATATTAATTGCTTCCAACATGTATTTATAAAAAAAAATTGTAATTGAAATAGAACAATCAAACATAGAACAATTGTTCAGTTACATAAATAAAGGTATAATAATACATACAAAAATTCCAATCAGAAAGTAATAGGACTTTTCAAATCGCAAAAAAATCGCAGTCTTTGCGATATGCTAATCGCATTGTTTCAAATTGCGATTTCGGATTGAAATCGATTCATCGTTCATCCCTACGAATGTGTACATTGCAAGCATCGCCCTCTACCGGCTGTCCAATGGGCCCCCCCGCCACCGCATCTCTGCCCCCTCAAGTCACCGGGGGTCTCTTGATGATCTCGGATCTCGCCTGGTTAAACTTGAGCGGTCATCGTCCGCTTCGAGCGGCGTGTCCTTCCCAATTAAGCAGTCATAATAATGATGAACGATAATGGATACGTTGGTAATTGTTTTGATTACGTGTGTCTTGCTCCAAGCTTAGGAGCGAGCACGCGGGAGTGTATTTTCAAACGAAGCGTTCTGGAGAAAATGGAAAAAAACTTCGCTTTCAATGTATGCGACCGACTTCGCCAGATCTCTAAAAGCTAAGCAGGGTTTTAAACGTGGTTATCACTTGGGATGGGTGACCATTACCAGAGCTTGGCAGGTGTTGTAGTTTTGGGTGCTGCGAAGTGGTCGTTAGTATTATTTTTATTACAACATTTTAACGTATTGGCGGTCAACCGGTGCGCTGTATTAAAAAAAAAATCCCAGTCATTTATTTTCACTTGATACGCAATCCCGGTCAGAGAATCTTGCGGGGTGTGCGTCAAAAATCAGTTCTCGTGATGTCGGTCGGAAGACGAACGTTACAAGCAGCTGAACACGAAGCTTCACAGCCTGTTGCCGTGTTGCAGCAACACCCATCCCTCATGGCGATTGGCTTGCCTCCGTGTTCCAAATACAAGATTTGACTCGTGCCGTAGAATTGGTCGGACGGTTCCTCGATACAACGGACCCAAATCAACGGTCAGCTATAGCTGCTCGCCCCCCAGCTATAAATGCTCTGATACGTGTGGCATTGCCTTTGTGCTGTTCGCCTTTTGTCGTTCTCTGGTCTGACACGAGTGAGACCAGGGCATAAAGGAGGCTGTCTCTGATGTAGCCCAATCAGTTTCAAAGACGATGTTATTATTATCAGAGCTCACTCGCCTACTTCAGCATTTTTTCTTGCTGTGTTTGTTCCACCTGATGAAGATTGCTTGTGTTGCGATCGAAACGTCATTTGTTTTTATTTTATTTCTACCTACGTGACTTTACCGAAAGAACCAAAGAGTATTATCAGAGCATGTTTTATTCACATGTTCACCACAAGTACTGTGTATGGTTAAAGCAGATTTAATTCCTTGCAAGAGGTATCTATTTGGTGTTGGACATCGTAACACGTGTCTTATTGCCAGTATGGGTAGGACCTATTATTATTATTTTTAACACATTGATACTGGCAAAAAAAATGTGCCATGATAATGTTGTGACCTTTTTTCTGCAAGTCTCAATAGACTGAATAAACTTCACGACATTGTCAATTAAAGACAGATAAAAACAGATTTGCCGATTCAATTTTTGATTAATATTTGTGACTGTTTCATGAAGAGCGGTGCGTTATGCTGCACCGGTGCACCGCCAAATTCGTCCCATTGATAACCCGGGAAGGCTTTACCAAGTCTCGAGACTCTTAAAGGGCAGTCCCTGCAGCGTGTTTTGCAGTGGGTGGCAGGGGGGGCGCCGATTTATATTATCTTAGTTTTTCAAAATCGCTGCGATTCACTTCGCAAAATATCTCGCGTGTCACACAACCGCCCGTCGGGGTCTCGCCACGTGCGCTTTATTCACTCACGGTTCCAAACGCGCACTCAAGCAATTTTGTCCAACAATACAGAACCCAATCCTCGTCAAGGGTGATGCTTGAGACTCGGCGAAATTGCTTTGTGTGTGTGTACGTTGAACTGATTCGCGATGGCGCGTATCCAATCGTGCTCATTGGAGGTGCGGGGGAAGGAGAACAAACGAAAACACACTACCTTAGGTCATTAGTGCTCGTCTGCATTTGGCAGTGATGCACAAACGCACCAATCACAATTGGAGTTATTTAACACTGCCCCCTTCAGTTTTCGCGACTTGATTATATATTTAATTTGGAAAGCACCTGCACATCATTTGCATCCTTTCCAGAGAGCATTCCGCGTAAATCGTCGGTAATTTCCATTGACTTTTATGTATTTATATCCAGTGTTTGAATAGTCGCGATGTTTATTGTATATATTAAACAAACACACTGCATATGCTATACGTTTTAAAAATGTGTGTGTGTTTGTACACGTGTCATTACGCGTTCGCTACGCATGTGTCAATTGGCACATCCTGGACACCATCTCACAGAGGGATTAATTATTAGGCTGATTTAATCTCTTAATAAATAAAATAAAAATAAAAACATACACCTTTCAAAAAAATACAGAGTGCAACCTTTATTTAATCAGAGTACAAAGTCGCATTCAGTGACAGCATTGTTATCGAGTTTACTAAAACAAGCAATGTTTCTCAATATTGCACGGAAAAAATAATACGTAATAATATAATAAAATAATAGCCTGTTTTCGAGCACTGCACGTAGATTACACGATAGGCCAGACCCGAATTAAATTAAGCCTTGACTTTCTAAGTAAAAAAAGCATGAGTACAGGTCTCGTGTCGGTCGTATCTGCTCCTGATGATAGGCGTTTTAAACGGTCAGGCTATTGCTTGGTGGCTCATTGCATATTTACTCAATTGGGAAAAATAAACAGTACAGCGCCCCCCCCCCCCCCCACGATAATTTTCCACCTGCTTTCATCATATAAATTATATAAAATCGTTTGCCATTATAATGTACCAATATCCGTACATAGAAGCATATGTGGCAGCTTAGACGCCTCTTGAAATCAACGTGGGAGTCGTAACCCTTGGTGGATCAGAGACGCGAGATCTCTCCTCTTGAATGTGCTTCCTAGGTGAATGTGGGGTGGAGCGGTGGCGCAGTGGTTAGCGCACTGCGCTGTGAACTCGGTCAACTTGGTTTA